ATGTTCTTAATGGCTCAGCAAGTTTCCTCTAACTTATCCTCTTCTTGGTGATAAATAAGTATATAGCCGTCCGGCTGAACTTCAATGGTGGAACCAGTTTCCTCAGTAAGTTGATTAATGGTTTTCCCCCGTGGTCCAATAATTAAGCCTATTTTTTCTTTTTCCACCACCAAGCGACGGCACTTAATAACTTGAGTTGGTAAGTTAGGGCGTGGGTGATAAATATGGTTTTTCATTTCCGCCAACAAACGAAGTCGGGCTTGGCGAGCCTTGGCGAAACTAGTTTTTATTAATTCTTGACTAATCCCGTGATTTTTGACATCTAATTGAATAGAACAAATGCCTTTTTCAGTGCCGGCAATTTTGAAATCCATTTCCCCCAACTTGTCCTCCAAGCCGTTAATGTCACTATAAATCTGTCCTTCAAACAAGCCCAAAGCGATACCAGCCGCCGGTCTAATTAGTGGCACTCCGGCCGTCATGAGGGATAAAGAGGTAGCACAAATAGAAGCCTGGGAGGAGGAGCCGTCCGAAGAAAGAACTTCCGAGACCGCCCGCACCGTGTAGGGAAATAAATCGGGAGAAGGAATTAGGTAATCAAAGGTTTTTTCTGCCAACTCACCATGGCCGATTTCGCGCCGGGAAACGGACCGATAACTAGCAATTTCATTAACGGCAAAGGGCGGAAAATTATAATGATGAATAAAATGTTTATAAGAACGGTTAAAAATACTATCAACTAACTGCTTGTCGCTGATTTTACCAATGGTTATTACTGAAAGAACCTTAGTTTCACCGCGAGCAAAGACCGCGCTACCATGAACATTAGGCAAATAATCGATTTGAATTTCTAAGGGTCGAATGTGGTCGGCTCTCCGACCATCCAACCGCACCTGTTTTTCTTTTCAGAGTTTCCGCATTCAATTTCGCAGACAATCATCCCAAAATTCCTCTACTAAATCTTTCACAAATTCTTCTTCTAATTCGGGATTTTTGGCACAATATTCCTGGGTTAATTGTTGCCGAACTTCTTTCATTTTTTTTTCCTTCTCTATTCAGGAAAGATTTGACCTTAAAAGGACTTCACCTAAATAATAATTTCCTTTTTCTTCTAACCACTGGTTGCTGGTTACTTCTTTCGGTTTAACCTCCATTTTATTTTTCTTAACTCCCAAACTGCTGGCGATATGTTGAAAAAAACCAATCAATATCTGAATTTTCTGCTGGGCGAAAGCGATGGCTTGGGCTAATTCGGCTTCACTTATTTCCTGTGTTCCCGCCTCCAACATAGTAATTTTTTCCTCAGTCGCACTAACAATTAATTCGAGCGGGGAATTGACCAATTTTTCCTTACTCGGATTACCAATAAAATCCTTTTCTTCTTGGCCAATAATTACCGCCGCTAGCGGAGTAGAAAAAAACGGCAGATTAGGAGCCAGATAACAGACCAAAAATGAGTTTCAAATAGCCATTATCCGGGGGTCGCATTCGGGGTCCAGCGAAAGAACGGAATTATTTATGTGGACTTCCTGATTACTAGGAAAAGGAAAAAAACTCCGTAATGAACGATCAATTAAACGGGCGGCGGTAATAGCATCATAACTGGGCCGGCCTTCTCGTTTACCGAAGACATTAGGAATACGACCCACCGCATAAAATTTCTCCTCAAAAGTAATGGTTAGTGGAAAAAAAGAGTTAACATTTTTTGTTAATTGTTTAACTGTTAAAACTGTTAAAACAGTAGTATTACCATAACGACAAATTATCGATTTATCACTTTTGCTGGCTAATTGGTCAATTTCAAATATTACTTCTTTATTTTCGAAATTAAATTCAAACCTCTTTTTTGACTTGCTGGAAAAATCTTTAACACTTCCGCTCATTATAAACTTATTTTAACTCTGCCGCAATAATTATTTACCAGTGAAAGAGAAAAACCAAGCAAAAATTAAAGGGAAAGTGTAAGGAGAGAGATTTTTATTGTTCCAACTGTTCCAACCTTTAATTATTGAGATTATTTGTTAGCAACAGCCACAATAATTACCAGTAAAAATTAAAACACTAGTATAAATGTCAGCATTAGGAAAATTAAGGCTGAATTGGTTAGGGAAGATTTCATACTGTTTTAATTGTTCGACTTTTAAATTAGGTTTGCCTCACTTTTTAGCCAATTCATCAACGGGAAGACTTATTTCTCTTTTATCTTCTAAATAAGCCGTGATTTTGGTTTGATTGACCTTTAATTTAAGTAATTTAGGGTGAAAATGTTCCTCCTCTGTTGTTATTTTTTTAGGAGTATATTTAGTTTGTTCTTTTATTTCATTTTCTCTTAATCTTACCATAATCGTTTTAGAAAAGGGGAATTTATCATTCCTCGGAATCAAAAGCCACTTGCCAGGCCACTTTTACCTTTTTCATTATTTCTGGGCTGGCTGATCCCAACCTTTCTTGGAAACGAATTCCTTTGTTTCAGGTAAAGGAGAATCACGCAAAATCTTACTGGGGTAGTCTAGACCAGTTGCTGGAGTATTATAATTGTAAAAATCAAATCCAAACTGATTTAATGTAATTTTATAATTTCTTGGTAAGAAGTATTTTACTACCTTTTTCATATTTTTTGTCCGTTTTTTGGACTTTCCATAATTAAATAGTAGTTTAGCAAGGAGCAAAAAACGGACATTAGTTTTATAAAAAAGTAGTAACTGATAAAATAATTGTTACTTTGACTAATTTCTAAATTAATTTTTAGTTTCGGTCAACACTTCGTAAAATTATGATAAGCGGGTTTTAATTCTTGTAAGTCCTAAATAGCGAAATGCGAGCGGTGATGCGTTAATGGAAAAATAAAAAGTCAAGGCGTCGTCCAGCTGAACTTTACCGATGGTTTGTTTATCCACAGGCAACTTTATACGAACAGATATTCTGCTTTATGTCCGAGCAAAAAAAAAATAAGCGGACAAAACCCCCCCCCTTTTTTTTTTATATGTCCCTTGGGACATTTTTTTTTATAGGAATATAGTATAAAAGCACTTTAATCCCGCATGTAAGGGAATTGAAGGAAACACCTCAACAGTCCAGGAAACAAGAATTAAACTTCTCAGTCAAACACTAGCGCAAGTTCTTCACTAACTCCTTTCACTGAAAACCTTGTAATCTCTCTAATTCTTTAATTTCTGGTAAAGTCCATAAAAAAGCCTCAATGTCTTGGGTTAATCCACCATGGCTTTTATCATGCTTATAACCAAATTGCAATTTATAATTAGCCATAAGACAATGAGCCAACTCATGAGCGATAGTGTTAACCAGTTTACGAAAACCAAACAATTTATTAAAATTAGGGATATCACTTTTTAATCCGCCTAAGCAGTAAGCAAAAAGAATATTCAAATGGACTTCCTTGGTGTAGATAATTAAATTACCAATCTCCTCTTTACCCAATCTGGTTCGTCCATACCAATTATAACTTAAATAAAAGCCCCCAAACTTAATAATGGTGGAACGCAAGGGATAAATATCCCCATGTTTTTTAATTAAAATATCCTGGTAAGCCCGATAAGTCGAGTTAATTAAGTGTTCGAAATAGACCTCCATTTACTTACTTATTACTCTCCATATCCTTACCGCTACAAATTACTTCTAAACCAAAACTGCCTTTTTCTTCCGGAGACTTGTCAGCTTCTTTTTTTAAATTGGTTAATAATTGCCGCATCTCTTTATCTGATAAGCGTTGTGGTTTAGGTTGTTGTTGAACTGCTTTTTTTATCATACTTAATTTTTACTGAATATCCATGATAGCGGCTTATTAAATTATCAAACAATTTTTAATCACCATAGATATCAGGCATTTTTACTTATAGAGCTCTAATAAATTTCTCTCACTTATTCAAAGAATAAAAAATAATTGATTGGAGAATGGGGTTTTCTTATAAAATGGTCGCCTAATATCAGGCTTTTTATCAGAAACTTTTCTTAAAAGCCCGCTCAACCTCAGTTTTATTTATAAAAACAATTTAAAAGTATATGAAACGAAAAACTATGACAAACGCACACATCCACTCACTAAAATTAGTAATCTCCTCTATCTGAAAGGAGGATTATATAACGCCCGCTGTGGCGTTAAAAGTAGGAGAAATTATTCTTAAATAATTAGAAATAAGAATTAAAAGGAACGGTGGTTAACGCTGTTTAGAAATTAACACAAATTTTTTAAAAACTCAAAAAACTCAAAGAAAATATTATAAAATATGGTAAAAAGTATAATAAAAAGACCTTGCTGTGAGGCTAAAAACAGCAAAGGAAGAAAAATAATATGGCAAGGTGAAAAACATTTCAAATTCTTGATACTTTAGAGTGTCCGGAAAAAAATAAGATTATCTTTTATTTGGATGATGACCTTGATTTTTACGACGTAAGTAACGAGCCTCGCATTGTTTTGGGTGATGGTTACTATGTAAAACAATTCAAAAAATTTGACTACGTAGATATTAATTTAGATATTGTATTGGATTATTCTTACGAATATGCTATTACTGCACGTGAAGCTTTAATAAGACCGGCGTCATCATCAGTTTCTCGTCGTTCTTCTACTCGCAATGAAATGCTTAGGGCTTCGTCGGTTGATCCAACAGCCTTGGCTATAACTCGTGAAGGGATGAATAGGGTGGACCGAAATCAGCAAAATGAATTTGAATACAAAATGGAGGATAATTCTGGAAGTAAACATCAGTGAATATACAGAAAGCGATAATTAACAAAACGCTAGACAATTTAGAAATTGAAATTAAAAAATGTAGTAAATGTAATTGTAATGTAGATCGTTGAGGTTTAATAGATAGTCGTTGAATAATTTTGGACGACTGTGATCACCAATGTATTTTCAAGAAAAACGGGAAATATTTCTGCTTCAATTGTTTAGCCTCTGAATACCCCGTCAAGTGCCAACTTTGTCATAAACGAATTAGCCGAAAGGATGAGTTAGGATACTGAACTGGAACAACTTTTCGCAGTGGAGATTTTTCTTCTGACCCCGACCACTTTGGGTTTAGGTGCCTAGGTTGTAGAGACGTTAATACTAATATACACAAAGGGTATAATGATAATAAGTGTCGGATTGCGGGTTGTTCTCAAAAGTCTTATTACGAGTGTATGGATTTGTGTTTAAGTCATTCTAAGCCATGTCAAGGAACGTATATGGGAAAGAAATGCAATTTCGCACTTGGAAGTGATGAAGGGGACTTTTGTGAGAGATGCAAAAACCAAACTGAAACTTATCAACAAAGAAAAGATAGATTAGAAACCAAAAGCACGCAAGAATTCGAAAAATTCCGACAAGCCTATGAAAAAGCCCAAAATTATTGAAACACTCTTTCTGGTTCCGAACGAGAACGAGAATGTGAGCGGTTGGTAGAAAATATGAAACTCGGAAAATATTGAGGGGGAATAAGGGGTAAGGAAGGCGAAGGCTGCTTTTGAGCCCACAATGGTAGTGCCTGAATGATTGAAAACGGAAGGCTCGTTTCCTCCTCTCCGCACTTGGCCCCGACCATATTAGCGGAGGAGTTTCTGAAAAAAGAAATAGGATTTGTTGATAGCAAAGCAATAGAAGAATTTAGTTCACAAATGATAGTGAAAAAAAGTAATGATAATAGTTCACCGCCGGCTAATAATTCTGCTTCTCCTACTCAACCACCACAATTCGAAAAAAATCAGGAAAATAACCAAAAACCATTAGTAGGTAACGATAAAAATGGCGAGAAAAAAATAGAGATCGCTAATGATGAAGTTGAAAATAAAAAAAGTAGTCCTAATGATAATAATACCTTGGTTATCAATTTAAAAGAAGTCAAAAAGATAATTTTAAGAGAGGATGGCAATTTAGAAATTAAGTTTAATGGCACCCAAAACAGCCAAATTATAGGCAACGAACAAATAAATAATAGCCAAGAATTACAAAAGATTAAAAACTATTGTCAGCAGAGCGGCAAAGATAGTTTAAACCAGCAAGAATTAAATAATATTCTCCATTCCAGCAGTGCTAGTTCAGGACTGACAAATAAACCTACGAATAATAATCACTCGTTAGCAATAGGATTAAGTATAGCCGCTGTCTTAATGGTTGGACTAGCAGTTGGATTATTCTTAAAAAGAAAGAAAGGCATTAAAAAGAGTTAATTTTTTGTTTTTAACTATTCCTATTGGCACTTTTCAGAAAAAGTAGGTAATTAACCAGATTTTTCCTGAGTTGGTGGGAGTAGGGATAACCAATTAATTGGTTCTTTTCCTACTTCCGATAACAAATTATTAACCTTAGAAAAAACGCGGGAACCGATAAAATAACCGGTCTGGTTTTGTCCCTTACCTCTCGCGCTGTAAGGAGAAGGGTGGGTACTAATCAGCATATAATTATTAGTTTTTTCACTAATGCCACAATTTTCACCAATTTTTTTTGCCTTTTGCCCCCAAAATACTCAGATAATTTTTTTATCATGGTTGTTTAAATAATCTAAGAGAGAGTAAATAAATTCTTCTCATAGGTTCATATGAGAAAGGGCTTGACCGTCGCGTACGGTCAGGGCAGTATTAAGCAAAAAAACTCCTTCTTTAACTCAGGGCAGCAAATCACCTTTGGTGGGGAGAGGACAATTAAAATCTCTACTAAACTCTAAAAAAATATTTTCTAAACTAGGGGGGATATAATTAAGTCTTTGGGTGCTAAAAGCAATTCCATCGGCTGTTTTAGGCGAATGATAAGGGTCTTGACCTAATATTATTACTTTTATTTTTTCCAAGGAAATCTCCCGAAAAAGGCGAAAAACATTTTCCTTTGGGGGTCAACATTTATAATTTTTGTATTCCGCTGCTACTTTGGTAAGTAGGGGGAGAAGGTAATCCTTGTGGGACTCTTGCGAAAAAAAAGGGGTTCAACTAGGGTCAATTTTATCCAACCAAAAGTCTTGTCATAGGGAACTATTATTCATTACTTAATTTTTTGTTCTTTCCTCATCTTAATATCCTTAACTTTTCTTGGTTTTGAGTATCATTTGACAAAAAACTGTCTTTTTTATTTCTCGTTGGATAATGTTGACTATCACCTTTATTATTTTATAATTTTTTTAGAAGAAGAGGAAACGGTTTTCTTCTTAGTTACCTTGTTTTTTACTACTTTAAGAAGACCCACAGTAAACTCTTACTCAGTTTATTTTTTAGCATTATAGCAAAAAGCAAATTCATTAACGTAATCTTGTGAATGTTCCCTGTTTATCCGATGGTAAATTCCTCAAACACTTCTTTTGGGAGTAGCCTAAGCACTTTCAATAACACAATATTATATGACGCAAAAGACCTTAATGATTAATGTCAACAAAACTTCTAAATCTTCCACCCCAAGCAATAATCTATTAAAATTAATATTATATAAAAACTAATTTATGGCAGAAGCGAAATCAGGAAAAAAACAAGTATTTGAAAATCCAAACCCTCATATAAATATTGCTACTTTGGGGCATGTCGATCACGGAAAAACTACTTTGACTTCGGCAATTACCTATGTTCAAGCCAAAGAAAATAAAGCTAAATCTCGGAAATATGAAGAGATCGATGCAGCTCCCGAAGAGAAAGCACGGGGGATTACTATCAAAACTGCTCATGTTGAATTTGAAACTGACACTAGACATTATGCTTTAATTGATTGTCCGGGCCACGCCGACTACATTAAAAATATGATTACTGGTGCTGCCCAAGCTAATGGTGGAATCCTAGTGGTTGATGCTAGTCAAGGCGGACAAGAACAAACGAAAGAACATCTTCTATTAGCCAAGCAAGTCGGAGTAGATAAGTTAGTTATTTTTGCTAACAAAGTTGACATGGTTAGTGACCCTGAAATGTTGGAATTAGTAAAAGAAGATATTGAAGGATTATTAGAAAAGTATGGATTTGATAAAGGAGCGCCAATTATTTTTGGTTCCGCCAAAAAGGCTTTGGAAGGTGATCCAGAACAAGAAAAAAAAATTAAGGAACTAATTGCCAAACTTGACGAATACATTCCCACTCCCGTGAGTGATGAGAGCAAACCATTCTTAATGTATATCGAGGACACAATGTCAATTACCGGTCGGGGAACAGTAGCCACTGGTAAGGTGGAACGAGGAATACTCAAGCCTGGCGACGAGATAGAAATTGTCGGAATAAATGAAGAAAAAATTAAAACCAAAGCTACCAGTGCTGAAATGTTTCAAAAAGAATTAAAAGAAGCCAAACCAAATTATAACATTGGTGTTCTTTTGCAAGGAATTAAGCGCGAACAGGTATCGCGAGGAATGGCCTTAGCCAAGCCAGGTAGCATCAATGCTTATAAAAAATTCGAGGCGCAAGTTTACGTTTTAAAAAAAGAGGAGGGTGGTCGTCATAGTACCTTTGAAGACAATTACAGCCCACAGTTTTACTTCTACACGGCTGACATATCAGGAACCATCAAATTGGCGAAGGACACAGTAGTCAAGCCCGGTGATAATCTCAGTTTAACAGTTCATCTTATTCATCCAGTTGCGATTGAAACTAATAGTACTTTCTCCATCCGTGAAGGTGGAAAAACTATTGGCAAAGGAATTGTTACCAAAATTATTGAGTAAAATAATTTCTGTTAATTCTTTCTCTATCTTAAATTACTGTTGGCTCTGTCGAACGTGTGATTTAAAAAATAATGGAAAGTAAAGTAATTGCTCGTGCCAAAAAAAACTTTCATGATTATAGAATAATTGAAAGACTTGTGGCTGGTCTAGTGCTAACTGGTAACGAAATAAAATCGCTCTGTAATCACCAAGTTTCGATTGGCGAGGCTTATGTTTTGCCTCAACAAAAGGAATTATATGTTGTCAACATGAATATTGCGGCTTATAAGTATTCCCACGCTGGTGATTTAGCAAAAGTTGATACCAGAAAAAAAAGAAAACTGCTTCTCAAAAAAAGGGAGATAAATAAATTAATTGGCATTATGAAAGCCAGAAATTATGTCCTTATTCCCCTGCAACTTTTTATTACAAATAAGGGTTGAGCCAAATTAGAAATTGCTCTGGCTCAACATCTTCGTAAATACCAAATAAAAGAAAAGGCTAAAGAAAAGGAAATCAAGAGGAAACTCCGGCAAGGGGATTTTTAAATTAAAACTCTCTCTATATATATCTGAATAAGACAATTAAAAGGAGATAAGTCTCCTAAATCTGATGAAATCTGTGAAAAATGCAAGGTTTCTTGCCGATTTGATGAGAAAATAATTGGAGATACTCTTAATTACAAAGTAAAAAGAAGAAAGATAACCACTTATTACACAGACTTTCGCAAAGAAGTCCATTGGTTCGGAACCAACTGTCCTTGTGCTGAACAGTTTAAAAAAGAAAATGAGAGAAACTGCTCTCACTGTAATAAAAAAGAGTGACCTGACTTAGATAAAGGTTGGGTATTGGACTATGAAATTCATAAGGCATTCTGTTCTTCACTTTGTCATGTCACCCATCGACAATTAGGCTGAGAACAGGCTCAAAGGTTGAATCGAGTAGTTCTGTTTCCTCCTCAGTTAGATGTAGAAATTAATTCACAACAAAATACTAATTCAAGACAAAACATTAATTGAGAACAAGAAGGTTTAAGAAGAGAAGTTTTATTTTGGAGGGAGTATGCTCGGTCTTTAGAGCAAAGATTAAGTAATCAGAATAATTTAACTCCTCAGGAAAGACAGCAATCTAACTATCTAAGAAATTTACAGAGAAATACCTTAAACAGTGCTGAGAGTAATTATAAAAATAAGTATGGAAGTTTGGTAGAAGATAAACCAAAAGGCTCTGATAATAAGGATAAAGGCATGAGTGGTGGAGTTATTGCTCTGATGGTAATTGGAGGAATAATTCTGGTAGGCGGAATTGCTTACTTCTTAATTAGAAAAAAACCAAGTAAAAAATATTAAAAGTATGAATAATCAACAAATAATTAGATACATAAAAGTTAGAGAAGCCTGAAGAGATGCTTTGCGAGTCAAATCTAATGCCTTATCATATTTAAAGTGGTTTGTTTAGATTTGGTTCTTTTTTAGCCTATTATGCCGTAGAAAAGTATTTTCTGGTCGAAGAAATTACCAAACTTTATCAGCATAATCCCAACTACAAGTATATTTTTTATCTCTCATTAGCCTTTGGTTTATGAGGAATAATTGATAGTTTGTTTGGAGTAATTAAGTATTTTCAGACAAACGGTGAAGCAGAACAATTAAGAAGAAAGGTTGAAGAGTTAGAGAGGGAATTGTAAATTAGCCTTTGTGGCGTTACATCGTAAAATATATAATATAATAGTTGATTGTATGTTTAATGACTATGATTATGATTACTTAACCTAATCTTGGTTTTGGACGAAACTCTGGGATGAGGGTTAGGCGAAAGTAACATAGTCACCTAAATATCATGAGTTTCGTCCCTCACACTAACAATCAAAATCAAGAAATAAGCAAAAGAAGGAGAACTTTTTTTGTTTTTTTCGATCACTTTTGCAAAGTGGGGGAAGTTTGTTTTACTTTTCTTATCTACTTCTTATAACAATAGGGGAGGTTATTGTCGTTTATTGGCAAAAAGAGGTTCCTCTCCTTAAAGGTTACCCGTTGGAAATTAACTCCTGAACGAGACTAGTTTAGGATTTTGACGATCCTACCCGTTTTGTCTAAATTTTGCCTAACTAGTCTCACCGAGGAATTAATTCTTGAGCGGAGTTTGGGGTTGACTTTAGGCTTTTGTGTTCCTGCCGAGTTGGCTCCACTCTCCGCTGAGGAATTAATTTTCAAGAATTTTGAAAAATTAGACTCTCAAAACTGTATACTATAATTTTAAGGGGGAGGATAATTTTGTTTTTCCCCATTCGCCATGCTAAAATTATTTAATATGCTCAAAGGCAACATCGACATCTTCCAAATCACTGGTAAGCAGTTTAAAAAAGGGATTGAATTCACTTTACATAAACCTCTTAGATACTCTCAAAGTATTGAAGATAGAATCTTTTTGGCTAACAAACCTCCCTTCGGTAATTACCGAGTTGGAGATTTTTTAGGAATAAATACTCAGTTAGTCCACTGATATTCTTTTGCTAACAGCAATGTTTGGGATGATAAGGATGTGGTTAGTAAGGTAGTGGCTAAGCCTCCACAGTTCTATCGGAAGCAAGTTTTTAATAGCGATGAGTTTGGAGATGGGTGAGTGGAAGAGTAAAATTTATTAAAAAGCGGACACTAATTATGAAAAAAGTAGTATTATGAAAGCAAGAACAATTACCATTAAGCCCAATCAAA